TGCACCCCCCTTGCTCTGATGCAGTGCCTCGAAGCAGGGGTGCACAAAACACCACCAGTGACACACTGCATGCCTAGAGCCTCTGTTGCGGTGAATCAGGGGCAGCTGCTTTGTACCCAGCTTTACATAACTCCTGACAGGCCTATAAGCATAAGTCAAGGGAAATGTTATTCATATAATTGTAAAAAATAAGAGTGGTTTGCAAATGTTTACATGTTCAATTATATATAAGCCTTCCCCAGTGAGTACATCTGTCTCTTTTTGCTTTTTTCTGTCAGTCAAAATGCCTCTCAAATGCAGAAGCTGAATGCTGCAAATGAACATCAATGGAATTCTCCTTCCAGCAGGGCCCATGAAAAGTGGGGACAGAGAAATATGTATTTGTATTCTCTTCTGAAGGGTTCTCTGGCTGGAATTGCCTCAGTTGGAATCTTGCTAGTTTTAAGAAGCCATTTTGCTTTGGTGAATGCTATGCATGATTTTTTTCCTCCAGCATTTGAAACAGGGGCAGCCCTTTATCTGTTATCACTAGGTTACAGATCCCGCAGCCACACCTCTTTTCTCTGACAGATGATGCTTTTACAGGTAGACCCAGAATACTGATGCTTTTTGATGGGAGGAGAGAAAGGTGGCATGGTATGTTACTAAAAGTCCACTTTAAATTAGAAGGTAGGAGCAAGCTGCCTGCAGGAACAATCTGCCTCATAACAATGGGAGAGAGGACAAGAGAAGGTCAGGGCAAGTCAAAATGTTTTGTATTTCTGACAGATAAAGCTGTCCCAAATACAAAACAGCTTTCCCAGCTGTTTCAGGGGACATGGGAAACTGGATAACTATGACATTCCAAGGTGGAGGTGTCCAGAGGTAGGTTGATTTCTTGCAGAGGGAGGTGGTATCAGCCACAGGTGCTGCTGCTCATCAGCAAGAAATGAAATGCTTAAGACATTCCCTTAACAGAATCATTAAAAGTCTATTTTCTCCTCAGTAAAAGAAAATCATCACAAGGTTACTTTCCTTAACTTTTCTTTTTTATTTTAATAAAACTCTTTTGCCTCAGTTTCTGTGCAGGAAGATCTTAGGTGACCCATTACAGGTCAGCCAGTGTGACTGATTTTATATGGATGGAAGAAGCTAGAGAAAAATAGTAGCAAGCGTATGACATCATTATAAAGTAAAATTTATTTCAGCTCCTGGGGAGAATATCGCATTAATCGGGGAGCAAATGAAATACTTATGTCAGGAGAGAAAGATTCAAAAATTTATTTGTCGGTCTCCTTCCTCACCTTACCAGAAAAAAAAGAGTTAATGCTGCTCCTTGGCATCAACTTTATAGTCAAGGTGATTATCACAATCCACTTACGGATGTGGAGCACAGCAGCACCTTTCCTAAAAGGCAGCTGTCTGAGGGCTGTGCTAGGATGGGATATGCTTGGTGGGCAGCCCTGCTCTCTGCCTTGTGAAACCAAGGGTAGCCATTTGACACTCAGAGAAAAATTAGGTCAAATCACTGCATTAAAGCCAGGCCAGAGAAAACAGTGCCGATGAGGAACAATAGCTGTGTGACCAATTACAGCGAATATTGTGATGTGTGCAGGGGCTGCATTAGATTTTCAGCAAAACCCTTGGGAGAAATGCATTATTTATTGGCATTACTTTGCCAATTATTTTAATGCAATATTTATTACTGCATTAAACAATAAGCCTTAGATCTTTGTAATGGAAGAGGAAGACGCTTGCTTGGTCTCAAAGCAGAACAGCAAAGCACAGCCAGGTCCCACTTGTCCTCCCTCAGAAGTTTATTAATGAATGAACTGCTCCTAACAACCCACTCTCTTTTTCTTCCCTGCCCTCCCCCTTTTCTGTCTTGAACTTCCAGCAGAGAATTGGGTCTTTGTTATCACTGAGGCTGTTGGTGAACTTTAACCCCCTGCAGCAGCCTCATGCTGCCCCATGGACCATGTTCCAGTCCAGAGAGGGGTGAAAACACTCCCCGTCGCCCTGCCAGCAGGATCAGGACCCAGGGCTGTCCTGTGCCTATGTCTGGATATGTTTCAGGGTTCTCCAGCACACAAATGGGCTGGGTATTTGCAGCTATTGAGATGGTACCAGAAGATTCAAAGCATTACAGGGGGAAGAATGGGTTTAATGGATGTTCCTTCATTTCTAGGCTCTCTCTCCATCATATGCAGCCCACACTAAGTAATACACTGGCAACAATGACGTGGGAAGAAGCAGAAGAATCCTTGGTAACACCAAAGCGTTTCATTAATGGGTCTTGGTTTTCTTCCCTTTGAACTTCTTAAAGACATTAAAAATTGCATTGTACCATAATTTCCTTTTCTAGACACGAAAAATGCTGTGAGGGGTTCCTGCTAGGTGATTTAATTACACTACTCATGCAACTCTAAAGCCTAATTTACAGACACATTTTTGAATACAAGGCAGAGGGATCAAAATGCAGTTCTTAGAGCTATAAGGGGAAATACTGTGGGTCCACTATTTACACTGCTGCGCCTTTGAGGGTTCAGTGGGAATAAGCTGGACTCCAAGGACATTTTAATGTGCTTTAGATCATGCCTGCATTAAGAAAGACATCACAATGGTTCTTATCAATGGTTGTGGAAACCAGATGCCAGGGTCTGGTTATTGAGGTTTTATTTCCAGGAAGCATGTAAATCCTCTGTTTTATAAACACATCTCCTTTTTATAATATGAATGACAGATGGAGTAAGAGGAAATTGCATAATAAAATTAGTAAAAGCTGATATCAGTTTGTATTTGTTCAGACACTGATGATTATCTCATGCTTTGAATAACAGACATCTGCATGCCTCTCATTAAAGCGAGAGTCTCCAAGCTTCCATGTCACAGCTGCAAGTTTTCCTAAGTTTTTCAAATAAAATAACTGGTTTAACCACCAAAACCACCACATTGTGGTATCTCAAAAAATTAAACAGCCTTGACTTTTCAGGACTCACTGGCTTGTTTGCATTAACATCAAAGTTCCACAAAAGGAAAACCCCCGTGGGATTTATAGCATGTAAACAGTCAAATTAATCCAGAGCTTGGTGAGAGATTGACACTAAAGAGTAGAAAGGTGCAAAGCACAGCTTAATTAGACCATTATATTCCACAATGACCGGCACATGGATTATGGAAATCCAGCTTTATTAAAGTCCTGGATATGATATTTTGGTAGAGAGCTGATATTCCCATTTAATATAAAGTTCAGAGAGTAATAATAATAATAATAATAATAATAATAATATACCTTTTCAGCATTTAAAAGCACTGAGTAAAATTATTTAGCTAAAGTAAGAGCTAGTGTTTTGAGACAGGGGAAAGGGAGAAACACATTTGAATTTCACCAGAGCAATCCAGTTCTAAATCAGATTTGCTTGGACTGGGCTTGGGCCTAAGTAATCTTTAGTTACCACAGCTGAGGTCATGATCAGTGACTGAGGGACAATGAGTTTCATCTTATTTTTCCATTTCCTGAGGGTTACAGGCTTCTGGAACTGATCAGTCACGCCAGCTCAAAAGCTAGGTGAGCTTGCTGGGCAATTTTAGGAAGAAAGCTGTTCTTCAGAATAGCCTTAACCAACTATGAAAATTCACAAAAAAATAGGTACAGTTTGAGGAGGAGTGACAGGGACAAGAGCCAAAAAGATACTTGGAAATAGGAATCTTTGTAAACTAGGAAGTGTAGATTTTGTGAGCTGAATGGCAGCCCTAACAGAAGTATTTGGACAATACTCTCAGGCACATGGTGTGACTCTTTGGAATGGTGCTGTTCAAGACCATGAGTTGGACTCAACCCTTGCAGCTCAGCTTATTCCATGATTCTGTGAGATGTGAGACAACTGGTGTGAGCTAGCAAAGACATGACATGATGGAGAGGAGAGTTCATGTAGGAACTGCCAGTGAGTACATGGGAACAAGACATGAGCACAAACAAAAGTGTCTATTCAGTAGATTAAAGCAGAATCAAGAAACTCAAAGGAAATTATAGGGACTTTTTTTTCTCTGAAGGTTAAGCAAAGCAATTGTTCCATAGGAGTGGATTAATCATGCTGTTAACATGATTAACAGGATTAATCATGCTGTTAAATAAACCCCACATCAGGATGCAAGAGTACTGCATTTTGAATGTCCACACCATCCACCCTTCTGAAGCCTGAAACTGTCCACATGGGCCATGTTGCTCCCTCTAGCACCATCTCTGCAAGGTCCTGGTGGAACCAGCTGTCCTGAAGCCTGCTCAACAGCTCCTTACAACTCTGCTAATTCAGGAGTAATTTTACTGATAATAGAAGACCTATTATGCCTAACTCATTGCTCTTTAACTCCATCAAAATGGAGGAAAATATTTCTAACGCACACAAAAAATCAAGCCCTAAGCTTCTTCAAAGACCCTAACAGCTTAGTTGCTATGAATCGCTCAGTTATGAGTCATTATGAAATCTATAGGGTTGCTTTTTATCCAGGAACAATCAAAACCTTCATCACAGGCCTCCCTTTGTGCGAGATCCCCTGGTGTATTGAGCAGTTGCATATTGTCACACATAAAAAAATTCTGAGAATGTTTTTTCTTGTAATACAGTATTAACTGCATTGGTACAATACAGAATTACATTATTTTCAGCATGGTTTTGTTTCCAGCCACACTACCAGGCAGAAAAAAATACTTATCATTTAGAAATGTCAGCTGAGAAAAATAAATCTAAGGCACATTAAATCATACAACAAAAATGCTGTAAGAAAGCCCCTTACTGCTCCATTCATGCCCTGGAGCTTGCTGATCATTACATATAAAACACACGCTTATTCTCATAAAATGCATTAAGATTTTATGGCACAGTGTCTTGAAATCACTCAGAAACAACCTAGAAATGTCATTAGTGGGTGACTGTGCTATGTGAATTAAAACTTTTGCCCAGTATATTATTTCATACCCTGAGAAATTTGATCTACTCAAATCATAATTATTTTCATTTTCATTTTAACATTAACCCTGCTCCATCTATGGGTGAGTAACTAGCCTGGCTCCAAGTCCATTCCCCCTTGGAAAGCAAAGCGTACACCAGCACATTAGGAAAACAAAGAGCCAGTCTCTGTTTCATGTTAAGCTGAACACATCTGGAAAAATAGGTCTTGTTATATTTGGTGCACACTGCATGGCTGCTCTGAGATAGCATGGCAAGCACCCCTATTTCAGATTAAAAAAAGAGTAATAATGTGTTGTTTTCTGACTTGGCAAAGCAGATGCTAAATAAATCATGTGAATTATTCAGTATTGAGAGACAGGTTATATATTCTATTTCTGCTCTTTGCTCAGTCTCACATGACTTTAATACATGCAGAGGTGAGAAAAAAAAGCCCTTCTTAATCTCTGAAGTATGGCCTCCTCAGTATTGACTGTAAATTGGGTTTTTCTAGGTGAATAGTCAGGATCTGGGTCTGCTGAAGCAACTGCCAGGAACAACAACACAAGGTTAGATCAGCATCTCCATCCTCCTAAAACTTCTACAGCCGGGCAAGTCTTCCCCATCTTCCTCCTTTTCCTTCCTGCATCTTTTCAAATGATGTGCTGAGATGAACACTCATGTTGGCAAATCTTTCTGTATCCTTATATCACCCCAGAAGTCCTGGGGGAGAGGATGCCCACCAATGCTATGCACACGTGCTGCCAAATCCTGCTGAAGAGGATTCAGCAGGAACAGCCTGTTCAGCAGGAACAGCCTTCTCCTGGATATTTATGCCTCCCTGCTCAGAGCTCACGTCTGACAAAAGTTATGATACCTGAAAGTACTCCATCAGAGTAGCAATAAACATTCTCTAATGCAACAGAGTGCCTGACTTACATGAAGCCTTTCTTCACAAGCACTTTAAACAGAGGATTACGGCTCCCTTGACGCAGCATAAATCCTAGGTGACATGCTGGATGCCATGAATCAAATCAACACTGCAAGGGCTGCACCAGACAGTGGCTGGCTCCTGGAGGCAAGGGGAGAGAAGAGCCAGAGAAACGCCCCTTCCCTGCTTTGTTGTGCTCATTCTGTGCAAGAGCTACAAGGCCATTGAGCTAATCACCACCATAAAAACATTATTTCAATGCCTCTTACATGTGACAGCATTCTTTACTACTCTGCCCTGCTAATTTGTCTGAGCTCTCCTCTTTGGTTTTCCTCACACTGAGAGATACTCTATCAGCACTGGGCCTTTTGGGTAATTAAACCTGCCAGGATGCCTGCCTTTTGTCCTGGGACAGGCATCCATCACCTGCCAAACACACCCAACAACCCCATTCATGGCTGTCTGCAGATGCACGTTTGGATGGACATCACAGGGCTGTGAGGCCTTCCCGATTTCCCCTTCTCTGTGTGACTTTTGTGATATGCTAGGACAGGGATGGATGTGACCATTCTCTGGCTTAAACCAGGGACATGTAAGGGGAGGGTTTAGATCAGGACCCCATAGGGCATTGCAAACACTGCTGGTCCGTTCATCAGAAAGGCTCATCCCAGTAACTGGAAGAGAACGGGAGATTTTTATTGTTTCATTGGCCTTTATTGTTCTCTCAAATTTTCCCATCTCATTCATAAATGCATCCAGGTTTGCATTTGGGGAAGGGTAAAGACTCAGCTCTCTTTTTAAAGGTAAGGATTTTGCAGTACATGTTTCGAAATAAATGTTGTTGTTTTAAATCACAACGTTAGACCAGATGTAAACTTGGACAAGGAATTACAAGTTCAGCTAAGAAATACATACTTTTTAGGTGCTCTCGTACACCTTATTTGACTTGCTGGATAGTACTTCTTTGGCAATTCATGCAAGGTAGAGATTTTATAATTCTATATTACACAAATATAAATCAGTGAAGCAGATCAAATATTAACAGATGTAATAATGGCAATAGACTGTATTTTAACTGCTTGTTTTCTAAAAGAGTGGTTACAGTATCATCCATATTAATATCTTTTCCTAGCAAGATTTGAATAATGGCTCAAATGTTATAGAATCAGATTTATAGAATCATAGAATAGTTTGGGTTAAAAGTGACCTTTAAAGGTCATCTGATCCAACACCCTGCTATAATCAGAGACATCTTCAACTAGATCAGGTTTGTCAGAGCTCTAGTCTACTTGACCTTGAATGTACTTTATGCTTCTGGTGTGAAACCAGAAAACTTGTTAAGTCAGTGTGGATATTTGTAATGCATTAATTGTCACATCTCATAGGTATATAGCCTTCCTTGTACATGATGTTACAAAGGCAAAAAAAAAAAGAGCGTATTGTAAAAAAAAAGGAAAGAGTCTAAAGGACTATGAAAATGGCAGATATGATACAAAGACATTGAAGGAGATAAGTAATCTAAACATATGTAGTGTCACAAACACAAAATATAATTTCAGACCAAAGAGAATATAAGAGACATAAGTGACAGCTGTACAGCTGTGTAGATATAAAGATATAGAGATATGGATTTCATGTTATAATATCCTTTCCACTTAGAAAGTTGTAGTCAACTTAAGTCATAATTCTTTCTTTAGAATAATGCAATTTAAACCCCCAAAAATGTCTCTAAGGTAAAGAAGTACTTCAACGTTATCATCTATGGTGAAGAGTAAATAAAGAAAAAATTAAAGAAGTGGTGAGGAAGGACAGAAAAGATGCTGGAAGAGCACCCTGTTTAGTTCAACAATACCAGAAGATTCATATTGGTCTGGAAGTAAGAAATCCATTATGTAATCCTTCTGTGGTGATGGCACTCATGCTGCTATAATAACCTTGGAGCAACTGAGATGTGGAATGCAATTATAGATGGTGGAATAAAATAGATTGAATTAAATTATTTTATACTGGAATCTGTTATTTGTCAAAGAATAAACTTTTCCCCCTTTCATTCTAAAATGTTCCTTAGAATGAAGATCAATGCACTGCCTTAAAATGAGGGTGAAAATTCCCCTTCTGCAAGTATACCTCAAGTAAGTTTACAGGACATGAGAATTCCAGGATCTCATAACAAAAGTTCAAATTTTCTTTCCCAGAGGTATGTGTCCCCTCAGTCAGATCAGCACCTCTTACCTGACCGATTCCTCTCTTTTTAGCATCAATTGATCTTTCTCATGTACAACATAAAAGTGCCACAAACCACACCTAGTGTTCACATTTCATTTATCCCATGTTCCTTTTTTTCTTTTCTTTTTTTTTGTAAATATTGAGAAAAAAATCTTATCATTCAAAGTATAAGAATGTTGTGAATTCTAAGAAATTAAAATGAAGAAACCATGTTCCAAAACAGGATGCTTCCTCCCCTAAAATCTTCCACAGAGCAACACATAAGTTAGTCCCTAAAGACTAAAGTAAATTTAAACACCTTTTGCATTTTTTGCAATATTAAAAAAAATATATTGCTTAATGTGCCTAGAAGTTTCTCTTCTAGGCTGACATAGCAGCTAATGTGCTGAAAATCTTGTGGACTTCTCACTAGGTAGAATTAACTCTCTTTTTTTTTTTTTTTTTTTTGTTACTGCATTAGCTACATAAAAGAAAGAAGATCTTTTACCCTCTACAATCTGCAGCCAAATGCAGTGAGACAGCTGCAGTTTTAGAGAGCATGCTGCACTAAATGAAATCCTAACAAATGAAAGTTCAGTGCTTAGAAATATGCATCTTTTCAAACTGTCATGTAAAATCTTTTGCCTTTAACTTGTGTTATATCAAAGTTTCCACTCTAGAGCCGCAAACTAGATTGATAGCCAATGTTAGAAATGGACGAGTCCTTTAAAAGCTTTTCCTTTAAAATCATTTCATGCAGTCTTCAAAGCTATAACATCAGAGATATTAACAGTCCCAGAGGCTTTATTTTAAAGAACACATAGAAAAAAGGAATAATTTTAATATTAAGAAGTCTTTTATATAACCCCCTCAGACAGGGAGAGGGGGGAGAACCTCTGCTGAACCTCTTCAAAATATGTGAGCCAGTTTTTGCAGCAGATGCTGAAGTTTCTCAGCCTGAATGTCAAATTGTATTAGCTACCCTTCTGTTGCTCCATCCACTAGTAGGGAAGCTGAGGTTGTTACTGCTATTGGCATATGGACTGTGACAGCATCAGTACAGGAAGGTGTATCCTGGAAAATGCAGCAGTCAATATGCAAAATATAAATCGATTACATTTTTTTGTAGCTTTAATAGCTGTTGTCTGCCAGCCTGAAGCTGTTCAGACTTTGTTACACATCCCTGATAGCACTTGGATGATATAGTAGGACTTGCTTTCAATAGACATTACCTACCTTCTATCAAATCTTCTTCCTGTCAAATATTTTAACATGTCTATGAAGCTTCACTTCCAGTAACTACGAGAATGTGAACTGGCACTCCTTGCTGCAGGCTAAATTCCATGGAGAAGTATTTCTCTATGACCAAACAGTTCCGTAGTAACAAATGCAATGTCAAAAACTGAGGACAATGAAAGATTCCCAGAATGTTCCTTAGACCTCTCTGATGCCTGACAACTCACTGTTGGGTGAGTTTTGCACTTTTTGAAGCTTCTGCATCACAAATATTCAAGGGTTTTGCATTCTGGATCTGAATTAAACTTTAATTCAGACATATTTTTCTTGAGGAATGTGAGTTGTGATGTGTTGAGAGTTGCTTCACCACTCAAATATTTTCAGGAAAAAGAGTGATCTAGTAAAAATCAAAGCAAAAGTTTGTTTCCATCACTGTAAATGGACTGAGAAAAATAAAAGGAAGGTTACAGTGATTTCACAGCCAAATCACACCAATTGCTACCTTTCAGTACATAAACATCTCTAAGACACCCTCAGCAAGCTTTCTAATACTCATATATATTATCGTGTACAGCAGTGTGAGATACCTTGCCCATAACACTTTTTCCTCAAAAGCTAAGGCAGAGTTCATGACAACATTAAGAAAAAATTCTCTGAAGTAGCAGATGTCAAATCATACTCACTCATGACAGTCTGTGTCCTTACTTGACACAGGTCAAGTCAACTGACCTGCAGAGTCATTGATCTGCAGTAGAGCTGAGGACAGAGCCATGCAATGACTGCTTCAGCATCGACATTGAAGGGCCCTGTCACAGGCTGAGTGATTACATGCAAACCAGCTCCCCTCTGTCAGGTGTCTCCAACACAGAGCCATGGAACGGAAAGGCACTATTTCACTTTGCTGCAATGCTCCTGTAGTTCTGTCCTGCTATTCATGGCTGAAGCCATCCATTCTGACTAAAACACAGAATTATTTCTCCTATCTTTATCTATTGTTGGTTCACCTTGCTTGAAAAATGGCCACTTCCCTTCTTTGGCAAATTTCTGGTGTTTTCTAACATCAGCTAATGGACATCCTTATCAACAGCTGTAATGTATTTGTCATCTCCATAAAGCAGCACACCTTGCTGGATCACAAGAGGAAACTGCTAGCCTGTAAACATCCCTGTCTTCTTGTCATTCACTGCTCTCCAAGGATGATTCTGAGAGACAAGAAGCCCGACAGTCTGGACTGTGCTGTGGGGCAGATCAAGGAGAGAGGAAAACCCACTGTGCTATCTCAGGAGTCTCCTCACCAGAGCTGTCATGCAAGCAATTCCTAAATCGAAATGCACATTCAAGAGAAAAATGTGAATGCTTAGCTGCATTCCTTAAGCAAGCCATGTGTCACATGGGTTTGCTTTGAACTGGAAGGGGAAAAATAGGGTACTACACACCTGGGACTTTCCCATTCATCAGCAATGCATCACCTGAATCTCTCCCTGATCCGTTGTATTTTAATCCTGCTGCAAAATCTGAAAGAAAAGTCACAGTAAATTTCTGACAATCCAGCTGCATGAAAGGGGATCACAATTCTACCATCTGACCATCAGGCACTTCAATTCTAAGAAGCTTTCCATTTCTCTCCCCTTTCCAATACTTGTGCCAGAAAATGTCACAAAAGGCACACAAATGAGACGTGGCAAATAAATTTGTACAAATGCTCAGCTAAAAGATCATCTCTAACAGGTTAACAGGTCTCTGTTAAAGAAAGAAGGAAAACACTTCTACCCCACAGTGTTAAACAGTTGTGCTGGGAGCAGATGTCTGAAAAATTATAGGAGGCATGGCCAGAGTGAGTAAAATTCTTTGTCATGGACACTTCCAAAAAGAGGGAAAATACAGTTCACAATGATCTGACAAGAAACCTGCAGACCTCCACAGACTCTTAAAGTTTGTTCCAGATGCATATAGTACTCTAAAATTCATACTCTAAAAAGAAGGTCTTGAAATATAATAAGCTTCTATGAAGCTTTAAATTTAGGATCTACATTTATCACACTTTAAATATAACAGATGGGTCCACATAATTAGCAGCTTATCTGCATATATTTGTAGATAAGAAAAGAAAATGCTTAATGAGCAAGTAAGAAGTCTGTATTTTTCTAAAACTTCCAAGCCTTTGGGCCACAGCTCTATCTTTGCCCCAAATATAAGAATTCTACTGGCATCACAAGGAGCAGTGCAGGTGGAGGATTCTTTAATCTTTTAAAAGTGAAGAAGGCTTTCAGATGCCCTGCCTCCCCATCCCCATAATTTCTGCAATTCAAAATATGAAAGGACAAGAAAGAAAAATTTTAGGAAAGAACTGACCTTACTTCAAAAACTGTTAGACCATCTAGTTTTAACTTTTTTATGCCTCCACTAATTGCACAGAGCTTTACAGAGCTCCTGCTATGAACCTGACATACTTAGGTTTCTGTTGTAGCCAGTAGTTTTTAGAAAAGGCAAACCCTTTTTGCCAGGATGCCATAATGTATGTGCCAGGCACAAGAAATACCAATCACAGATCATTTTATTTCTTTGATCGGAGATCAAAATTATCCAAAATAAGGAAGAGAAGTCAAGAGATTATAACGTCTTATAAAAAAATGTATGAAGGAGAATTTAACCTTGATTCCTGAACATTAAACTTTCTGTGTTTTAAACCAACCACAATTTGGGCTCTGGTATCACCAATGTTCATACACAAGCCTATAGTTTGTTGACCTTCATTTATGCTGCCTTGAGCTATTTAAGGAACTGAACAACAAGTCACACACCAATGAACAAGCCAGGTGAGAGGTAAGAAAATAAAATTTTACCCTTACTCAGATGGGAATAATATCCGCCTGAATGTCACTATTGCTGAACTATGGCCCCAAGAACACTGTGAAACAAGTAAGCATTTAGGACAAACTAGAGAAGAAAAAGCTTGTAGGCTATTTAGAAAATTCCATGAGTGTGAGAAGTGAAGGAAATACTCCTGATAGCTGGGGAAAGAGGTGGGGACAAATAAGTGGAATCAATTAATAAATGAGGTCAATCACTTCTGTAAATCATTCTAAGTTTGTTCTTCTTGTAATGGTTCTATATAAAGCAAAAAAGTTAACACTTCATATTTTTGCTTAGAAATTGGGCCAGTAATTTTAATTGACATTTTAGCAAAAAAAAATTTTACTTGAAATTCTGAATGTGATAGTTTCTGACAAACTTTGGAAGGAAAGTCAGACTTAAAGTTCAGATCTGAATAATGCAATTACTGAGCAGCAGGTACAAGCAGTTACAGACATAACGTGCTGAAGATGATTAAAGTCAAAAAGATGTGTCCTCAGCTCAGCATGGCAATTCTTCTACCATTTTTTTTTGTTTGAAGAAAATTAAACTAGGCACTGTAGGCCAGCAAGGGAAACCGGAATTGTTACAGCTAGAATACTTTTTCTTTTCTCCTTTTGTCTTTTCTTTCCCCCTTTCTACCTCCCTCACCTTACTCCCTCATCCTCTTTTGTTCTCTTCCCCTTTCAAAAATCTCTTTTTAAGAAATTGTACAAAAAGAGCAACTGAACACAAGAAATATCATGTCAAACTACCTCAATAACAAGTTCAATAGTTTTTGACAGTTATTCAGAAGAATTTGAATCTATTATAAATCTGTGACTTTCAATGTATTGAAATTTTATAGGATTAAAAAATCTGAAATTTTAGATTGTTTTATGTCAGTATTTTTCATCCCTGATTTTGTTTCAAGAAATAAATGATAAATACTATCTTTTGCATACTAAATTGTTTGATTTTGCAGAGAAAATAAACATATTAACAATTATATACTCTTTCTAAGGAACAGATGAAACTTCAGCTTATCCACCACAAGAACCCACTACAGAGCTTAATGGAGTATTAGCCAACACATGACAGTGCAGAGAGCGATGCATCTGCTGGAATATAATTAAGACACTTATTTTAAATGAGAACCTTTTGACAAAGCCATGGACGAGGGGTGCAGACGTATTTCAGGCCTGTGTTGTGCTGCATCTCTCCCTTGGCGCAGGGCAGACTCAGCCAAGTAACATTATGGGATGATAATGGGGACCCCAGAGGCAGCTCCCATTCTGCACCAGTCATTACACACCTGTGTGGCCTTGCCTTTATCTCACTGTGCACCAACAAGATCTCACATGAACATCCTCTCTCTGTTTGGCATTGGAAATGATGAATGAGTTGTTTTCTTTTAAGAACCCCCTGTAAGAGCTGAAATTACTAAAACGAGGTGGCACTGCAGAGAGGGTCTGCCTGGAGTCCTGCACCTGGACTGGAGCTCCACACTGCACACACAGCTCAGCATCCCTGGCAGCTTACAGCAGACAAGATTATTTATGCTACTGCCTTTATACTGTTGGATCCACCAAATGGCATCTGAAGTGATTCTTTGCGGAGCCTGAGTACCTTTCTTACCAGGGTCATAACAAACCAGCACCTCCCAGCACAGCACAGGTGCCTATGCCTGTGCATCAAAAGCCATTCTAAAAGCCAGTCTTCGGTCTTTAAAAAACTGGGTTTGAAAGGAGCTATAGCAGGTCAGTGCCAAAGAACAGAAAAGACAAAATCATTCACTGTTCTTCTGTACACACGGATGCTTTTAATGTTACAAACCATATTTCAAAGTGAGTTGCAGCTAGTGAAAATACTTCATTTTCCACTTCACCCTCTGCTCTAAATTCCTATCAGCTCGTCTTCTCTCTTTACTAACAAAAGGAAAATGCAGGTGATGAAAACTAATGTAAAGAAAATAAAGAGAAAATGTCCCTTTCCAGGAAAAAAAAAAAAAAAAAAAAAAAAAAAAAAAAAAAAAGCAGGGATCAAACTGCTGGGAGAAAAAAAAAAAAAACATCTGCTGCTGGGTCTCATGTTTCCCCACAGGAAAAGTTAAACTCATTTCTCCAGGACTCAGTGAGACACAAATAATGGTTAGAGGAAGGCAGAGACTCACTGTGTTATTTCATTTGGCAGAAACAGTTGTGTGACCCTCCCCAGTGACAGTAAGACACCTGGATTGAGGGAGGCTTGCAGCAGCAGAACAGCCTCAGCTGAGCCAGCTTGCAGCTGTATGATAGGGGTTTTAGAGTCACAGAGGGCATGGATTTAGTGGTAATTCCTCAGAACTGGGTTACAGCCTCTGCAACTTCACTCACCCTAGGGGTTCTCAAATCCACAAATGCCATTTTGATGTCAGTCTTGCCAGAGTAGGCAAACAACATCACAAACTATTGTAAGGTGGCTCATTCTGCTGGCAAATATGCAAGTAGATCTCCAGAGCAGACACATCAAGCCCAGGAAGCTGCCACATTTAAGTCTTGGACCTAATTTTTTCCCCTGAATGTTGCCATTCTCTTAGGCACATACACCACATCACTCAGAAGGTAACACTGTGTGAACTTCCCAGATGATGGCTGCTAGTTTAAACTAGGTCTTGTTGTAACTCTCTTTGGCTCTTGGCTTCTTGATCTGCTGCCATGTGAAAGGGAGATGATTATCTGGGGACAGTTTCAGGAGAGCTCAGTCCCAGCATTGCCAAAGGCTGCAGAGGATACTCTGATCCTCGTGAGGGCTATTGACACCTTCCGACACTGCCAAGTCTGTTAAAGAAGTGATATAATTTACCAGGCTTAAAATAATTTATAATTAGAGTTCATCCGAAACCATTCCTTTACTTTGCTGAGTGACATTAAAACATTCACACAAAATCTCCATAGATCATGAAATATATCCTCAAGAAAAGTTTGCCATTGAAACAGGAAAGCAGTTAGAACCACCTGATATGTCAAATACAACAGAAATTAACTGCATCTATAAAGGAAACTCATAGGAGAAACAGTAAGCAGTTTCCAGAACTTCAATTTTTTATTCTATTTTCCAGGCTGTCGGAGTAAAGTTCAAGAGGCACAAATGACTTATCAAAAGGGATTAGACGTGAAGGAAATCAGTACTCTGGGACAAGCCGAGAAACAGCTTGTGGAAAATCAGAGTATTTTACTCTGGTCAATAAAGAACTAGCTAGAGAAATATTGCTGTGGGACTTAAAAAAAAAAAGAAAAAAAGAAAAAAAAAGAGGAGTTAAATAAAAAATAATGCATAGGAAAGATTTTGGAGGCTATAAAGAATATTGTCCAGAATACTTAGCATGTATAAACCCTCAAAAGCCAGAGATGCTGACAATGATGTTTGAACAAATAAAGAGTAAGTTTTAGCATTCCCTTGCTGACTGATGTATTTTCCTTTCAGCATTCCATTTCAAAACAGACTGGAGAGTCATTAAACATCAGGAGAGATCCTGTTTTGGAAATGAAGATGTCTGTGTGGGCGTAAGATTAAATGTTCTCCCATCTTTCAAATGACTCAGTGTCTGAAAGACCCAAATACAATATTTTGGTTGAAATGCTGTTTAATCCAAGCCTAGCCATAATTTTAAGCATTCATAAAGATCTGCAAAAGGACAAAGCCTGCTATCTGTCATTCTACTGACTTAGGTGATTTTACATCCCTTCTGTTCAGTGCTTGGTTCCCTTGGCTGTGTCGTCAAGATGAAGCAAAACAGCACAGACAGCAGGATTTTATAATATCCTTGACATGGCTGCTACCACCTCTAGTTATTGTTGGAAAGCTATTTGTCTGAAGCCTCAATCTGTTTAGCAAATGACAAAAACATGAAGCTGGGAAAAGGAGAGCAGAAGGAAATTTTCTGCAAAGAGCACGAATTGTGGTTACAGGGTGCTGCTGGTGTATTTAGAATTTCAAGTACTGCGTAGGATTACACGTGGGCATGGGTCCTCAAGACTCTTTATCCAGTTATAAGGTGCCTTAGAGCAAGAATTGCAACAGGAACACAGTAGAAAGGAGCAGGTAAAAATGCTCTACATTTATTCGAATTGGACTAAAATTTTGAAAGCATTACTTTTTACTTGATGACTTTGTTTCAAAGAACCTAAAGGAACTTCAGGCTGGGCTACGTGTCATTTGTCACCCAGCAACCAGCATAAAGCTCAGTTTGTACCTTGGCAAATTCAATAGGAATACGACCACTGCTTAGCGCCTGTCCTGGATCTCCCTAGTACAGCCAGGTGATTTTGCAGTGTAAATATCCAAAATTAATGAACATGGAATGGTGGCCTGATTTCTGTTCTAATAACTAATTGGTGAGGAGCAGAGCTGCTCCCCCAGAGCCTGTCTGGACATGCATGCTGCATCAGGCATCACTAATGAAACCAGGGGGGCTTAACACGCTTCAGCTGAACCCAGACCTGGCATTAAGTGCTCATACTCTGAAATCAGCCTTTCCTGAGAAGATCCCACCAGCCGTGAGGCACCATAATCACTGCTTACTTTTGAAATTATTTGCCATAGGTTATGACCTCTGGATTTCAGAAAAAACCATCTGCGACTGTGATTTGTGGTGAGCGTCCTTTACCCGAACCATTGCAGGCTGTGGAGATTAGAACAGCATGCCTCATGAACTCAGCAATTCCCCCTTGACGTATTTGATGGATGGAGTGTATTCTTGTGGCTACAACACATTGTTAGGTTGAATCCACCAAACTCCAGCAGCTACTAACACTCAGAGCAGCAGAGAAGGGACTACAGGTGTGAGGCCAGAGTGGAGGAAAGCCAATCCCAAACCCTCCCGACATTCACAGCTCTGCATGAACTGCTGCAGGCATACAAGGCAATGCTGCTGCCCCAAAGAGAGACTCGGGGAGCTGCCACCACCCACTTGTAAATGCACAGTCCTTCCCCAGCCAGCAGCTCCAGGGCTAAGCTGTACTCCTCTTTCCCAGCTGGAGACAGGGGTTGTGCCATAGACCTTCCCCAGGGCTGAACTCAGCCTGCTGTGGAAAGGCAGTGGAGAGTGGGAGCTCAGTCCCACAGACTGTGAAGCTCAAAAGTCATCAGGCAAGCACATTCTGGAAACAATTACAGTTTCCTTTCTCCAGGGAACAAGGCTCTCAAATATTGTATTACCTTTCTTCCAGCAAACCCCATGATATTTATTTGCTGTTATATGGTGTATACATTATCTACATGAATCTAGTGCTAAACAGTGTTACAAAATGAAAAAACAGATAATAGTGCTGTCCAACAGTATTAAGCTATAAAATGAAGGCAGTTTGTGAAGTTAGTAAAGCACCAGAATTGAAAATTAAACAGTTCTGCAATGAAAGCGCAGAGAGGGAGAAACAATTATTGCGTAATTATTTCTAGCAGGGTTATGTGATAATTGGCCCCTGAATCAAAAATTAAAACAGCATTCACTTGTTAAAAAATTATGATAAACCAGGTGAAGTAAAAAGTTTGGTTTGTTGGAGTTTCTTTAAGTATTTGTCAATAAAACAAAAAATCCCAAACAAATTTATTTCTGTGTCAACACTCTGAATAACAACAAAGGCCACAAAAACCTCATTTTTTGGCATATTCACACAAGAGTAGAGCCAATAGCCCATCAGTTCACACATTCAACCAGGGTACCTCAGCAGCAGATTTTGCTCCCTCCTGGCCTCCCCTGCTCTGTGTTGAGGTCAGCCCTTGTGAGTCCCTGTGCTTGGACTTTCATGGAAGAAATAACTATTCAGTGAAGCAAAGAGTGGGAGAGACTGCTTGGGAGGGGAAACTCCTATTTTTCCATCTAATGCAACAACTATTTAAGTACTTAATATTTGATAAAAATTTCCACCAGAAGGACAGAAACCAGCCCCCCAGGGAATGGTTTAGCTTTCCCAGGGGACAGAAGCTTGCACCCCTCTGGCATTGAGGGTAACAACCAGTTTGGGCTCTCCTTGGTCCCCGCCTTGGTGACCCTCATCCTGGAAACGTCTTCAGCAATCTCAGGGCAAGTTCCCAAATACCTTAAGGATGACTAAAAGTCATGCTTTTCAACACAGCAGCTACTCAGCGGGGGGAAGGGTAGGAGGGACGCTGCTTGGTGCAGAGGCTTGCTCAAACTGGACTGAGTTCTGTATGGGCCTAATTTTGCCATCATCTGGTTCACTGGCTGCTGGGTTTTCATTAATCAACAAGAAACACCATGCTCGGGTAATTTGGAAAAGTCAATTTGTTTTGAGCTTTCACTTGCTTAGAAGCAATCCTGGATGCAGAGACCAGCATGGCCAGAGTGAGTTTTAAGAACAGGCTTTCAGCAGCAGCCCCTGTTGTCAGGTGTCAGTAGCAGGGGAGTCCCCTGCTAATGCCTTTACAAGCAAATCCTCTCCCCTCACTGCAATATCTAACTGTATCACTGTTATTGCTTTCCTGACAATTCCTCTGTCTCTCCAAAGAGATAATTGAAATGTCCTGCTGTTTCTCTGAGTTTGTCCTTTGAAGCCCATTAAATCTTACTCAGCTATGTATACCTTAGAGAAAATAAACTGCTATGCCATGATTAATCATCTCAGATCCTGGCTTATTTGGGAGATGGAGGTGTACTGAGAATGACTGAGCATGTTGAAGGGTATTAAAGCAAATTGAACAAGAAGGAGAAAAATGAAAGCCCCTGTGCACTAACTAGAAGAGGGGAATAAACAACCAAAAATCAGGATTAGAAAAAAAAAGAACTACGACCCAAACAGAACCTCTTCCTACTACTTGCACAGTGCTAGCACTGAATATCCCACTGATCTTAGGGAGAAGGTGAAAAGGAAAACACATGGAAATGATTAGTCACGTGAAGGAAGACACTTGAATAAACAGTGGTGAATACCGTGTCAGCAAGGGAAGGCAGTCTGTAAGGGAAAGCAGAGCTTCTATGTAAAAAAGGAAAGGAGAAAATTTTATTATTAAATTCTGGTACTTAAAATTA